AATAAAACTTGGTACATAAATGCTCTAGGACAATAGACAGCCTGATTAATTTTGGGTTAAAATCTGTTCATATTAACTCTCTAATTAGCATAATAATTAATATTTTTTGGGTTCTAATCACATTTCAATGAAACTTGGTACATTGTGCAGACCTTATTAGTTTTACACTTAAATCTGTTCATATCAGTTACCTGATTTACATAATTAGTTTTCAGCTATTCCATCAATATCTCAAGTACAAGTAATTTTGAATTAATTTTTACTGTGTCTTCAATACTCTCAGCACACAGGAGTTCTTTCTAAGCTTTCTTTGATTTGTTACTAGCATTTTCTTGCTGTAAAACATTAAAATAAGAATTTTCGACAAAAATTTATTTTTTAGCAAAATGGCAAAAAAAGAACTGCCTGTAAACTGCTTTTCTACTGGGAAGGCAATGTTCATAAATGGTTCGACAAAGGGGATGGCGACAATAAATATAGAGGGCATTCAAGTTTGTTTGGGTTTTGTAGTGGGAGGGCACTTTTTGCGTAAAGAAGTGGGGGGGGGGGGGTTAATAACATACCCAAAACATTAAGAATATCTTCAAATTAAATCGTAGACAATTACTGCATTTAGACGACAGCATTTTATCGGAGCTCGAATAAACCATCGGGGATAAGCTCTGATAGGATTGGGCCCCGACATGGCTCCGATCGTGTAGACGCATTGGGCCCAACCATCGGGCAGAACTGTGCAGACAATTGTAGATTAACAAACAGTAGCACCCATGATTCCTAAAATACGAGCCGTTCGCCAGCGACGTTGGGCAATAATCATTCGCTGCGTTCTTCCTTTCTTCTATGAACCTCAGACAACTTATTAGTTGTCTGAGTTTGAGCGTACATGTTTCTCAAGGAGAGTATACATTACTCATTTCGCCCAACTTCACGCTCGCTTCCGCTTTTCAATTGTTTATTTCGCTTTCAGCCAATGGTGTGCATGGTGGATCAGTTTTCTTTGCATGTTGGGAAAATAAGATAAACCAGACTGGGTTGTTTAATTTCATTGCCGAAAGTCTGCTGTGAACCATGATTTTCAACTAAATTTGACTGAATCTCAATAAATTATTTATACATGTTAGACTATAGCTCGTGTCCAGCCACTGATTGTGATTAATTTTGAAAATTTTACTATGCCGACGTGGCTTTGGCATCGTTATTTTTGGGTAAAACACCAATATTTTCCTTGTCTCTCTTTCTCTGTCCAAAGAAGTTAGCATTGCCCCTTCAAGTAATTGTCCCGATAATCATTATTAAGGATGTATAGAGGTTATTGCAATTGCATAGCACATTTCTGAAGTAACATATTCTTTGAATCCCATCAAGTTATAAATTTTTAGAGAGCTTATGTTTCAAATAAGATGAAATAAATATTCCAAAAAAATAAAACAATGTAATCACATGTGCAAATAGAGAGGTGTTATTTTCGGAGAAACCAAAATGAGGACACAGAAATGATGTTCGCGGTACTTAGAGATACTACAAAAGATTTAAATTTAATTTTCCAGTCTGTCTACTGTTGCGTGACCTAGATTATGGCCTCATAACACGTCAACGTTGTTTTGAAATATAATACCCTGTGTCAATGTTCACATATAGGAGAGTTGTGTCATATTTTCTAATGTCAAAGTGGTAGACAAACTATCTTTGCCAGATTTCATTAGCAGCTATCAGAGAATACCTATGCCAAAAATCACCATCAAGGAGCAGCTGGGAGTCGACACTATTCGAAAGAGTCTCTAGACTAACCCAAAATACCGATGCTTTCTTTTGCGTGAAAAATCACAAAAAATATAAAAAACACTATCTAAGATTCACTCAAAATGTATTACCCTCTTAAACCATCGCTACAATTGTTTTTTCTAGTTCAATACATGATTTACATATTCGTATAAAAGAATGTTCGGCCCGACCGTGTAAACGTATTGGAGAAGCAGTAGTTCGACTCTGATAGAATGTTGTCGTGTGAAGGTGGCAAATGTAAAAACATTACATACTTTATACATACATGAAAGGTGTTGGTTGTTTCTGATCAACTGGTAGAGTTCATTGCTATTCGTACGTACAAGTAGTTTTCACCACAGATTACCATCGCCAACATTCAGCTATGTTTGCTTATATGTAAGAAAAGAGAGGCACTTTAAATGAGTAGCAAATCTGGACGATTGATGTCAAGCTTATATTATGCAGTACCTCCAGTTACTAATTGCTTGAATATTTGTTTACAGTAAAATGGCAGAGAACACACAGGACGTGTATGAAGACAATGACTATTACTTCAAGATGTATAATTATTTCACTAGCAAGTCCACAGAAGATTCACCAAATCAGTGGATTAAAGAGTGGGATACAATAGTGGATTTGATACCAAATGTTGAAATGTCAGACAGTATATACATGTTGGCAGTTGCAACAGGCGAAGGTAGGCAAGCTCGTACAATTTGGTAAAATATGTGATTTGTATGTGATCGGCTGACATTTTCAAGTGGCCCGGTATCTTACCGCCATTCGTGCCTGGTTTGGGTGTGGTTGTCGGGAAATGTGTTATATCTTTGACAGCATAGATAGTATTACCTCCATGGAAGAACATTGCCTAGCCATATGTAGACTTTACGGCTTAAGTATTATGCAACATCCTGCTACCCTACAATTTTTTTTACACAAATATTGACATGTAACAGTATTTAGATGCTTAGTTTTAACGATTAAATCAGTTGCTACTTTGTGTTCTAACTATACACACCTCGCCTTAGTATGCCCTACTCCACGACCTGAACCTTTCCCTACAGTGGTGTTTTGAGGTGTGATTTTCGGCAGCTGGAGGAGTGTGTGCAAGTTGTGTTTTCTCCCCTGAAAACTGAAATTGGATTTGAAAATTATCTGCTGACAGTAAATGTAAATAGTAAATCAAGTGCACATGTTTTACAAATTGAAATGGGTAGATACAAGCTTTATTAAAGTACTATACATAAGGCAAAAATGCATATATGAATGTTTCAATCTAAGAGAAAGCAAATTAAAAAAAAACAGCTGCCTCACATACATTGTACATTTACTTTATTAAATCACAGTCCCTCTATCCCCGGTCTGGAAACGGTCATTGTATTAGGTGTGAATTGGCCTCCTTCCCTGGCAAAGGCGCATTGCGGGTATGGGCAAAGCATTGTCACGTGATTATAAGTATGCAGCCGGCCACTATTTTTGACATCGTCAGTGTTATGTACTTTTTTTACAACTTAGTTGTTTATTCCAC